CTTATAATGAATCTTACCTTCAGCACAGCTACTCCATCTGAAAGTTTTGCCAGCCGTTCATTCAGTTTTTCCTTTTCATATTCACTAGTTGTGACATCTAGCTGCTCAATGATTTCTTGAATACGTTTTTCAATCTGAGCCTTATCACCTTTTCCTTTTAAGAGCATGGCATCATCTTTGGTCACAATGACCTCTCCAACTTTTCCTAAGTCATGAGGCTGAACGTCTTCAAGATTTAGGGTCAATCCCTCTTCTCCAAACACCTATAATAAAAAGATTTAAATGTAAACCACTTGTAGGTTACAGTTTCTGCCATTATGCCAGGTTTATTAATATACCACGCAAAAGAATCTTCTTGAAATAATGTATTTCTTTGAAACGAAAGATTTTAAGATCACTGTTACTCTAGAACAAGACTTGAGTATAGTCTTTCACTGCACTTCCAACTTCTCAATTCTCCCAACTCTGGTAGTTATTAGTCTTATTTGAGAAAAAAACTCCAAGGTCGCACTTTCTGGCAGAACCAGGGTTAGGCCTTGACTCTTAAGTCCTACATCATTTCTAGCACACACCTCTATCTTTCAAAACTAAAAACAGATTTAGTCAGGCTGGGCTCGATGGCTCACGCCTGTAATTCCAGCACTTTGGAAAGCAGAGGCAGGCATATTGCTTGAGCCCAGGAGTTTGAGACCAGCCTAGGCAACATAGTGAGACCCAACTCTACCAAAAATACAAAAATTAGTTGGGCATGGTACTACACCTATAATCTCAGTTACTTGGGAGGCTGAGACAGGAGGATCACTTGCAGGAGGTAAAGGTTGCAGTGAGTCAAGATCATGCCACTGCATTCTACCCTAGGTGACAGATCAAGACACCCTGTCTCCAAAACAAACCAACAAAAAAAACCCCAGCCCAACAGATTCTGTCAAAAAGCCCATTCTGAGGCCAGACTCACGGCAAATTAAAGGGAACTTAATCCAACCCCTACCTCCCAAAGAGCCAACAGAAACAGAGAGCAGTAGTATCTAATAAACATTTAGCAATCCATTATCACATTTATTTTACTTACTGCACCACCAGTAGCAATAGCCATATCTTTAAGTTGGTTCTTTCTATTGTCACCAAACCCTGGAGCCTTGACCGCCACAACCTGAAGACCAACCTTTAGCCTGTTAAGAATAGTTGATAATAAGATTTAAATGAAATAAAAATGCCTATCTGTTTATTTCCTCTCAAGCTCTGTTACTACTTAGATTACTTAGGACTCCCAGCCCACTTTTTGGTTTTTTTCTTCTTAGCAACTTTTGATCAAATTAAGACAGGAAAGAACTGAGACAGTTAACGCTATTTTCTATTAATCTATACTTATAAGTATATAATATACTTATACATTAATCTATTTTATATTAATCCTTATCTGTTTACCTTCTCAATAAACTGTTGGCCTGGCCAGACGTGGTGGTTCACGCCTGTAACCCCAGCACTTTGGGAGGCCGAGGCGAGATCACAAGGTCAGGAGTTCAAGCCCAGTCTGGCCAACGTGGTGAAACACTGCCTCTACTAAAAATATAAAACTTGGCCGGGCGAGGTGGTTCACGCCTGTAATCCCAGTACTTTGGGAGGCCGAGGCGGGTGGATCACGAGGTCAAGAGATCGAGACCATCCTGGTCAACACGGTGAAACCCCGTCTCTACTAAAAATACAAAAAATCAGCTGGGCATGGTAGCACATGCCTGTAATCCCAGCTACTCAGGAGGCTGAGGCAGGAGAATTGCCTGAACCCAGGACGCGGAGGCTGCGGTGAGCCGAGATTGCGCCATTGCACTCCAGCCTGGGTAACAAGAGTGAAACTCTGTCTCAAAAAAATAAATAAATAAATAAAACTTAGACAGGTGTGGTGGCAGGCGCCTGTAATCCCAGCTATTCTGGAGGCTGAGGCAGAAGAATTGCTTGAACCCAGGAGGTGGAGGTTGCAGTGAGATTGTGCCACTGCACTCTAGCCTGGGTGACAGAGCAAGATTCTATCTCAAAAAATAAAAAAAAAAATAAACTGTTGGCCTTACATTCCAGTTGAACAGCTAGACCCAGGATCAAAAATCATATCCCAGTAAGTTATAGGATACAGTAATAACTATTATGAACGGTAGAAAAACAACAATTACTAAGTATGTGCAATCAAATATCCAGTTGAAAGCAGATTGTGAAACAGAAGGAATGTTCAAACTTTAAGACAGCTGGTCTACTTTATTAAGGACCCAAATAAAAATTAGAAGAATAAGCTCTATGTCAAGTAAACTGGATATCCTATTTTTCAACTGGCAATAAAATGGCCTAATGAAAACTCTGTAGGCTTGTATTTTTCTGGCCTCACATCTTCAAGTCTTTACTTAATTCCTCCAAAATAGCAAATCCAAGCTAAGAAAAACATTCCAGGGTAAGGAGGCTCATTAGAGCTTTTGGGTCAGATCAACATGTGTAATGTCTAAAACATACCTGCTAATGTGTGCATTTCTACTATAGCAAAACAGAGAGAAAAGGTCTTGCTTCTGACATACAGTACTTCAATTTTCAGATAAGGAAGAACAAACACTTGATCACAGCCAGGGGTAGTGGCTCATGCCTGTAATCCCAGCACTTTGGGAGGCTGAGGTGGGAGAATCACTTAAGATTCACCAATAGTTTAAGACCAGCCTAGGCAACATACTGAGACCTTGTCTCTGCAGAAAAATTTAAAAATCAGCCAAGTGCGGTCATGCAAGTGTAGTCCCAGCTACTTGGGAGGCTGAGGCAGGAAGACTGCTTGACCCCAGGAGTTCAAGGCTGCGGGGAACTATGATCATGCCACCATAGCCCAGCCTGGGTGACAGTCTGTCCCTCAAAATAAATAAAAATATTTGATAGCAAAATACACTTATGTCTGAGTTATTTATTTAGAGACAGAGTCACACTTTGTTGCCCAGGCTGGAGTGCAGATGCACAGTATCAGCTCTCTGCAACCTCCCAGGTTCAAGTGATTCTCCTGCCTCAGCCTCTGAGTAATTGGGATTACAGGCTCGGGCCACCATGCCATGCTAATATTTGTATTTTTAGTAGAGACAGGGTTTCACTATGTTAGCCAGGCTGATCTCGACTGATCTCAGGTGATCCACCCACCTGGCCTATCTGAGTTGTTTAGAATGTTAGTTGTTTACTACTTCCCTGTTCCAGCCAAAATAATATTCTGAAAAAGTATATATTTTTAACTAGAAAAACCTTAAAAACAAAAAACAAAAAACAAAAACAAACAAAAAACAAGATTCAAACTTGAACCCAGGAGTCTTGAGCCGAGATTGAGCCACTGCACTCCAGCCTGGGCAACAGAGTGAGACTGTCTCAAACAAACAAAAAACAAAAAAAACCAAGATTCAGTTACGTACCTTCAAAATAACTGTAAACACTTGCAAAACACAGAAAGGTACCCATGGCTAAATTAGTCTATTCTATGAGAAAGCTGAGCAAAATAATAAAGACTGGAGAGTCCCATTCAAAAACACAACCATGAGGATATACAGAGCATACCTGATTTACACAAATACAATTCTAGACACAAACCCAAAGAGATCAAATGTGGAGGTACACATAATGGAGACTGCAAGCAACAATACAAATAATTCTGTCTTTCACCTAGAAATATAAATCATCAAATACCACTGCCTATTACCTATTCAAGACAAGTGTACTTAGAGCTTCTCCATCAACGTCTTCAGCGATTATAACCAAAGGCTTACGGTGAGCATTGGCAATTTCAAGAGCAGGTACAATGGACTGGACACTAGAAATTTTCTTTTCACTCAACAGAACATAGGCATCCTGGAATTCACATTTCTGACCTGTAAAAATAATGAAGATTTCAAAAATACACAAAATGACTGCAATGTATTTAAATGAAAAGCTAAACCACGGTTCCAACACACTTAAAAAGTGACCAGGCCGGGCACGGTGGCTCACGCCTGTAATACCAGCACTTTGGGAGGCCGAGGTGGGCGGATCACAAGGTCAAGAGATGGAGACCATCCTGACCAACATGGTGAAACCCTGTCTCTACTAAAAAATACAAAAATTAGCTGGGCGTGGTGGCGCACACCTGTAGTTCCAGCTACTCGGGAGCCTGGGACAGGGGAATTACTTGAACCCAGGAGGCGGAGACTGCAGTGAGCTGAGATTGTGCCACTGCACTCCAGCCTGGCACCTGGTGACAGAGTAAGACTCTATCTCAAAAAAAAAAAAAAAAAAAAAAAGTGATCAGTGAGTTTGTTTTCTTCCTTCATTTCTCATACGCATTAACTTTTGGAATACACACATTTATTTTTTTAGAGGATGACACCAACTAACACCCATAGTTTGACACACGTTAGGAGAGTACATTTTAAAAATTTCAGAAGGCCAAAACAGGGAGATCACTTGAGGCCAGGCATTCAAGACTAGCCTGGCCAAGATGGCTAAACCCTGTCTCTATTAAAAATACAAAAAGTAGGCCGGGCGCGGTGGCTCAAGCCTGTAATCCCAGCACTGTGGGAGGCCGAGGCGGGTGGATCACGAGGTCAAGAGATCGAGACCATCCTGGTCAACATGGTGAAAC